TTCCTTCCCTGAGCTGCCTTGCTCAGAAAGGATGCAGCATCTGAATACCCAATACTGGCCCTGGCAATCTGGGAGCCTCTGCCACATGACGCCGCAGCAGGAGGGCAGGGAGCCTGTGTTCCTGGACAGGTGGGCCGGTGCGGTCCCTGTACTGTGCTCCCCATAGGGTGCTCCTGGCAGAGCCTATCTGTCTCCAAGGTGACACATCCGGGCCACTTCTCCAGGAGGGCCTATTGTGAAACATTCAGGAATGTTTGTGTTCCTTCAGAGATTTGTAATTAAGAAGAGGCAGAACTAGTTTTCTCTTGGCCCTCTTCCTTCCCTCCCTCTCGCCCCTCCAGCATTCGGGCCATTTTGATCTCATGATTGGGGTTTTCGGTAGCCCAGGACAGGGAGGCTGGAGACCACTCCAAAGCTTGAAATGGGGTGCATCGCTTCACTGGAGGGTGGGGGCTGGGAGTTCCAGGCAAGCCCCCAAGTCCAGGCTGCATCTGAAAGCGGACATCTCTTCCCAGCCCACATTCTTGGCACTTGCCCAAGGGGAGACATTGTAGGCCAGAGAAGCACCCACCGTTTCCCAGAGGGCACTGGTTTAAACAGACTGTTCTCTCTGGCAGGAAGAGTGAATGTCTGCACGTGCATATATACATGTGTGTGTGTGTGTGTGTGTGTGTGTGTGTGTGTGTGTGTTTAAATCTTTGTGCAACTAAAAACACTTCTCTTCATCCTGATTCTCTGAATGACACATTGCTGCACACTGAATAATTCATCTCCCTCTTGGCATTTGTTCCAGAGAGAATCTTGCTGTCCAGATTTCTTGTAAGTTGCATAGTCTTCCCATAGAAGCGTTTTCTCTTTCCCATGGAAGAGCTCTGGGAGCGAGACTCTCAGCCCCCTGGCTTTTCCCCCAAGGTTGCATCAGAGGGGAACACGGAATATCAAACCAGAGCCCCCCTCCTCCTCAGGCCCGCTCCTTCCAACGCCGGGTCCTCTTGACTCACTCTTCTCTACCCAATGGGCACGCTGTCTGTGTTCACTGCATGTGGAAGCCGGCATCTCAGTGGGGTGGTCTCAAGACAGTCACATTACTGAACCTTGTAGCTTCTGACTTCTGACTTCCCCGTGTTGAAGGCCGGAACCATCAGCGGAATTCAGGGTTTTCTGGAAAAGTGATGCATTTTGGTGTTTCAGACCTGCCCATCTCCAGTCACCCTCCCCACTGAGAGAGTTCAGTGAATTACTGGCATTGGTGACTTGGGTGACTTTGAAACATTTGATTGTCTTTTTGTCAAGCAGCTTTGCATGATCCAAGTGTATTGAACATCTTTGTACCAAGACACCGATGACCGAAGGTGCAAATGTGCAAAAGCTCCAGGGCCCTTTGCCTGCAGACTGGCCTCTGTCATTACCTGTATCTGTGGCATAGCTTACTCTGTGCTCCAGGTTGCTGTGAGACTCACTCGGTCTTGTTCATTCGTGTTTGCAAAGCTCTGGTTTGGGAATCAAGTAGTAGGGCTTTAGGTGATCCCTCTGGGGTTTACTAACTGTGTGGTACTGGGCATGTTTTCTCATTTGTAAAATGGAGTAAGAGTGCCTGCTACCCGGAGAGAGAGAACATGATATATATAACTTGCTTTCTAGGCCTACATTTAGCCATTATTAAATATTTTAATTATACTGATATATGAACATTACAGAGAAATTAGTAAAAACAATTATATTAGAAACCGTGTACTGAGATGACATTTTAATGTACATCTTTCCAGTTTCCCTTCTTTATGTGCTGCTGAAGCAAGCACCCAGTTTCTCTTCTACACACACACACACACACACACACACACACACACACAGATTTGTAGGCAAAATATACGATAACAGTATCCTGTAGATTTTCTCTTTCAACAGTGTTGTTTTTCTCATAATATATTGAGATCATCCTCCTGTATTAGCAACATATAGAACAATACATCATTATTTGTCATTCCTACATATTCATTATCATAGTCACCCATTCCACAAATATTTATTGAGCACCTGTTGTGGGGGACCCAGGGATCTCTTGCTTAGATGCACCATTGGATGAAACCACTTAATTGATCCCCAGGGAAGAATTATGAAAGGTGCTGATCCAGGGGATCTGTCAGAAGGGGCATATCTTCTTGGTTTTCTGGGTTACAGACAGTATATATAATAAGATTCATATCTCTGTGGGGGTGCCTGGGTGGCTCAGTCAGTTAAGCACCTGCCTTCAGCTTAGGTCATGATCCCTGGGATGGAGCCCTGCATTGGTCTCCCTGCTTAGCGGGGAGCCTGCTTCTCCCTCTCCCTTAGCTGCTCCCACTGCTTGTGCTCTCTCTGTCAAATAAATAAATAAAATCTTTTAAAAGAAAGAGAGAGAGAATTCATATCTGTGCAGCCAGAGGTTTCAGGGCAGAGAGCAGGGAGAGGAATGAGCCAGAAAGGAAGGTCTGACTGGTGCATTCCTGCTCCCTCCCAGATCTTTCTGTCCTCAGGAATACAGTGACTCCCTGTGGAAGGGTATGCCTGTGTGTGGAGTTTTCAGAGACTCTTTCAGAGATTTGCTGTATAAAATGATGTTGGAGGAGATTAGATTCCTGGTGGTCACTGATCTTCATTCTCCATAAGGAAGAGGAAACAAACCACCTGGTGAAGTTTGAGGATGGGGAGGCACTGTGGCACGTGGCCTTTAGTTTCTGAAGTCTGTGCAGGGCATGGGGGGTGGTGGCATGGGCTGAAGACAGCTTTGCAGGAACTTTATCCAAACTGGCACAGGTGTGCCTGAATGAAGAGCCTTCTTCGTGGAGGGAGGTCCTCATCCCCTGTGTGTCTTCTCCGTTTTTCCCCCTTTGACTGTACAGTGGCTTATGATTTTCCACAGGACTCGGGAGGTACACTGAGAATGTCAGCTTTCGAGAGAACCCTGTAGCTCACAGCAGGAGCGCTGGAGACCGATTTGAAGTCCCAGATTTGTCACTGACTTGGAGAATGTTATTTTGTATTTTTCAGCCTCAGTTTCCCCTTCTGGGAAATGGAGATAACAGTAGTGTTTTCTGAGCACTCATTCCTACTAGGATCTGTGCTACATGTTCCTAAAACATGACATTCTTTAACCTAACCAGCAACCTGGACAGTTGCTACTATTATCCCCACTTCTCAGATAAAGATACTGAGACTCAGGGGCACCTGGGTGGCTCCTTCGGTTAAGTGTCTGACTCTTGATTTTAGCTCAGGTCATGGTCATGAGATCAAACCGTGCTTGGGGCTCTACACTCAGCAGGGAGTCTGCTTCTCTTTCTCTCCCTCTGCCCCTCTCCCCCGACCTCAATCACATTCTGTCTCTCTCTCTCTCTCTCCCCCAAATAAATAAATCTTTAAAAAAGAAAGGGGGGGTTTGTGGTGCACCTGGATGGCTCAGTCAGTTAGGCATCCTACTCTAGATTTTGGCTTATGCATGATCTCAGGGTCATAAGATCAAGCCCCGCATCAGGCTCTGCACTCAGCATGGAGCCTGCTTGAGGTTCTCTCTCTCCCTTTTCCTCTGCCCCATCCCCCCAACCTCTCTAAAAAAAAAAATTAAAAATAAAAAACAGAAGCTCAAAGAGATTAAGTTGCCAAACCCACACACCACCCTAAGGGATGCTTACTGAATCCTTACTCTATGGAGTGGAGTCTGTTGCATATCCTAGATCCCTCTGGCCTCATCCTCATCGTCTCCCACAATACAACAGTGAATTACTGACTAATGGAAGCTTTTGGATTCTCATTTATTCACTCAGGAGGTACTTTTCGCAGCCTACCTGATTTGGATATATGATGGCACATGAACTTACCGCCTCCTGTCCACGGGGGCCCTTCCAGTTTTTCTTTCTCCCCTCATATGTTTTTCTTTAAGTCTGACTTGGAGTGGGTATAGAAAAGGAGATTGCACAGCATAAGAGAGAGGGTAGTTTCCCGAGGCTTAGAGGGAAGGTCTTCATCAGAACTCTGAGACCCCATCCAGTTCTTTCTCTTCCTCTCCTGTTGCATCTTAGCTTGCCACTCTATCCAAAGAGTGATGAAACAGAGCCTTCTAGTCTTCCAGGATTGGGAGGGGGTGGGAACACACAGGAGAGGGAGAACATCTGAATATGTATTTTAAGCAGAGTCCGCAATGGGAGAAACCAAAGGCTTTCCGGAGGGGCTGCTCAGTCCCACAGGCTGTATGTCTAGGTTGGTGGCTTCCTGCACTGGCTGAAATGTTTGACCGATGGCTTGTGCTCTTTTCCAGCCTTCACAGCCCTTAATTCATTTGGTTGGATGATTTGTCTTCTCACTTAGCCACCAAGTGGGTGATTACCACCACTGCCCACCAAAATGGGGTCTTAGAGGGTGGTTATTACTAAAAAGATCGGTTTGGCCTGGATTGTTTAGGGAAGGACAGTGGTGGGTGTAGGCATTTGGGAACCTACTCAGGAGGAAAAGAAATACTTCTTTTGGCCGAATTCATAGGGATAGGACATCTGCTATTCTAGATGCTGCTATAAGCCAGCTTTCCAGAGGGCAAGTGGGCGTGACAAACATGGGATAGACCCTGAATGAAGAATGGTGGTGGGGCGGGCAGGTGAGTTGCAGATGAAGAAGCTAGAGAGGGCTAGAGTCTGAGTCCAGAAACAAGACTTGACATTTGAACCCTTTTCCTCAAACCCCCCAGAGATCCAGCAACAGAGGCCCAAAGAAGGAAGATGACTTGGTGAAATCATTTCCAAATTAGTGGCAAAGCTGGGACCAGAATGCAGATTACCCGCCTCCCTCCTGGGTGATCTAATCCAGTTACCTTCCTGGGACAACATGGGCCATGGGGACAGCAGAGCTGGGGCCAGGGCGAAGTTTGTGGCTCTGTTGGGCCAGCCCAGAGGACCAGGGAGGCTGACAGAAGCAGTGAGTTGTAGGGCCTTGGGGACCGTGGGCTGATGGAGTCTGTTTCTCCTCTCCCTTGCCAGGTACACCAAACCGCTCACCTTTGCTGACTGCATTAGTGATGAGTTGCCGCTAGGATGGGAAGAGGCGTATGACCCGCAAGTTGGAGATTACTTCATAGACCACAATACCAGTAAGTTCCTGGCCAGCCTCCCTTCCCCTTCCTGCACCCCATCCCTCTACCTCTACACCCACCCCCCTCCCTGAGTCTGAAAGAGCTGCCGGCAAAGGCTCTTAAAGCCAGATTGTGTTTTGTTTTATATGGAGTTAGATGGAGATGTCGATGTGGATATAGATAGATAATGTATGCTCGTACAAAATAACCATTTAGAAGAGTTTTAAATAGAATCTAAAACTCTCCCCCCTTGCAACCCAGCTCCCCAGTTTTGCAGAAGCAGCCACTGCTAATAATTTCTTGTGTATCATTCCAGAAATGTTCCAATTGTATGTTTGTGTGTACATGCATCTATTCTTCTGTTTTTTTCTTTTTTTAATATATCTCCATTTTTGGTGCCTACAGTTTTTTTTCCATGTGAGGCAGATGTGTCATTTTCATTGCCAGGCCATTGTGGAACCAGAGCCCCAGCATGTCCCTAGCAGCATGTGCACGCCTGTCTCTGTAGTGGATGGGCATCAGTGTGTGTCTCCGGCCCATCATACTGCTCAGCCCACCCTCACTTTGTGCCCATGATCCAAGTATCCTGATCCAGAGTACACATTCCTAGTGTCTCTGTCTCTGGGACTGTGCTGGAGGGATAGATTGAGAAAGGGACAAGAAAGGGACAGGCATATTGTCTGGCAGGTAGAGGAACTCAGGTCACGGTCCCCCCAGCCAGGGAGAGTTGTTGTGTATTTGGGCTTCATCGTGTCCTCTGAAATCTGCTGCCCCATTTGTCCAAGGCCGTCTCACTCTCAACTTCTGAAGTGTAGGATTCCCTTTGTCCTTTCAGGCCAGAGGAAAGTGGGCTGAAATGGGATGTGCCTGGCCAACCTGAAGGCTGAGAATAGGGTAGGAAATGCTAATAGCCCCTGTTCACTGAACATACATCCTGTGCCTTGCGTGCAGCGAGGTGCCAGATAGGCGTCATCTCGTTTCATCCTCCCAGCTCCCCTGGAGGATGTTAGGAGGAATATCCCTGTCTTGGACATAGAACTTAGAAGTCGTAACTGGCTGCTTAACACTCAGAGCGAAAATGCGGTACAGCTGGGATTTGAACTGGTACCAGGGAGCCAAGTTGTGCCTCCCCATTCATTTCCTCCTCAGGTTTCCACTAGCACCCGGCCGGGCTCTGTGGTGCCACTCATCACTCTGTTATAAAGCAGGGCAGTATCTCATTCATTGCTCCATTCCCAGGCCTGTGTTTGGTAAGGCACATAGTAGGTGTGCACTTGACCTTTGTTAAATAGCAAAGGGCATACATGCATGAATTCATGACTGAGTGGATGAATGAGCCGACTTCATTGAAGAGTTTCTGAGGGACAGCTAATGGCATTAATTGCTTTTTGGGGGGTAGCGGAGGTTTTTATTAGCGCTCATGATTGCATGCTGGATAATGAGAAGTAAATATGCCTAATTGAGTGTGTGCGGGGAATGAGGTTAATGTTTGGAAGGCTGCACAGTATGCTGGGTTAAACACTGATGTACAGGGACCCTAACCAGTTCTCTCCTTGTGTCTAATTGCTGAGTTCATCCCCCTCGTTAAAATCTGATGGCGAGAGTGGGATTTTACAGTGCTTCTGGGAGTTGCAGGGAAATAGGAGGGAGGAAGGAGTAGCAGGCACCAGCAGAATTTATTCTTGAGAGGATGAGGGCAGAAATGGGGTGTATGGGCAGGTGAGTAAATGAGGGCCACCATAAGAAGAATTCTGCCTGAGAGTTTTACCAGCTCTCAGGCTAGCAGGTGCCTTTTGCTTTGAACTTGTTCTCCTTGGAGGGAGGACACCACCTCTACAGAAGGAGCCAGGGGTGAAGGTGTTGTGACTGTGACCCTCCAGGAGGCCTAAGCATTCAGAGCCGTGGACTTCGACCAGTCCTCCATGTGTGTATTGTTCATGGACGGAAATTACCTTCTTGAGTTATAGACCCAATAGAATTGAACGAGTTAAATCTACTATCCAACATTCATTCATTCAGCAAATATTCACTGACCACCTGTCATGTTCCAGGCACTGTTCTCACAACTTGGGATACATGAAGAGTTGCAAAATGGCAATGATTCTTGCTCTTAGCTGAAACCCAAGAGTTGGAAGCTCAATGGACTGCACCACACAGGGGCCCCCATATTTGTCATTTTTAATGCATCAAATAGATGGAGTGATACATGTTAACACATAAAACAAATGCACCGGGGCGCCTGGGTGGCTCAGTGGGTTAAGCCGCTGCCTTCAGCTCAGGTCATGATCTCCGAGTCCTGGGATCGAGCCCCGCATCGGGCTCTCTGCTCTCTAGGGGAGCCTGCTTCCTCCTCTCTCTCTGCCTGCCTCTCTGCCTGCTTGTGATCTCTCTGTCAAATAAATAAATAAAATCTTTAAAAAAAACAAAACAAAACAAATGCACCATAATTGCCCTCGTTGCTGACCTTTTGTGTTATTTCCATTTATTTGTTATAAATAAATAAAATCGAAGGGAGAATCCTTATTCATACTGCTTCTCTCCTTTGTGATAATTTCCTTTATATTTCCAAATATAGGGTCACTAAGTGAAAGGTCATAAAAATTTTTTGAGACTTCTGGTCCATATTCCTAGGTTGATAAGTATTTCCAGAAAACGGTAGCAGTCTGTATTGCCACAGGCAACAAGGGTACTGTTTTCCTCATACCTTGATCAGTATGGGGCTATTTTCATTTCTTTATTTTTTGATAAATTCTTCGTAGGTTGAAACTGTTACTTCCCTGCTTTTCATTTGCATAGTAACAAGGTTGGGCATTCTCCAGATGTTCAGCTGTTTTTAAGACGATTGTTAAAGCCCTTGGAGAATACAGTAGTGTTAGCCCCGTGGATGGGTGTGTGGTGTGTGGAGGAGGTGGGGGGTGGAATGCAGAGTTCGGGAGTGTGGAGAACGTGTGGAATGTGTTTGTAGGTTGAGGTTGGGAGCATGAGAGAGGATAGAGAAGGGGTTCTCAATCATGGTTTCAGTCAGTTGGCTAAATGTTTGTTGGCAGTAGCTGCCTTTTGGGGAAAAAGAGGATGGGGAAAGCTGTTTTATGTAGCCAACTTTGTAACCTGCTGAGTGATTAAACTGTGTCCATGTATAGCTTTAATAAAAAGGAAAACTGGAAAGTAGCTAGACAAGGTGATATGAAAGATCCTGCCTAAGTGTAAAGGTATCTGTTTGGGTGTGATGGGCTTAGGGAAGGGGAGTATGAGTGGAAGAGGCTGGGCCTGGGAGGACGCCCTCAGAGTAAGACTAATTCAGGACTAATTTAGGACTAACAGCTGTTAACACAATTCCATAGAACCCCCTGGGCGCTTTTGAAAAGCCCAGTGTTCTAAAGGACAGTTTTTTCAACAGTTGCTGGTACAACTGGCCCACATGGAAAAAAGTACACCTCCACTTCTGTCTCTACCTCACACCATACATAAAAATAAACTCAAAATGACCATAGACCTAAACATAAAAGGGAGAACTAGAAAAGAGCTAAAAGAAAGCATAGGAGAAAAATTTTCAAGATTTGAAGGTAAGCAAAGATTTTTTTTTTTTTTGGACAAGACCCAAAAAACACTAACTATAAATGGAGCTTCATCGAATTTAAACCTGCATTGTTAAAAGACACCATTAAGAAACTGGAAAGACAAGCCACAGATAAGAAAAAAATATTTACAACACTGACATCTGACACAGGACCCATATCAAGAATGTACAAAGAACTCTTACATCTTACAACTCAATAGTAAGAAGCCCAGCAGCTCGATTAAAAATATAAGCAAGAGATTTTAAAAAGACACTTCACTAAAGACATACAAATGGCTAATAAACACATAAAAGTATGCTTTCAGCATCAGTCCTTAGGGCAACGCAAACTAAAGACGACAGGGAGGTACCCCTCACTCCCACTGTAATGGCTAGAATGAAGATGAACAGTGCCGGTAGTTGGTGAGGGTGTGGAGGAACTGGAACTCTAATACATTAGTGGTGCGAATGTCGATCAGAACCAACATTGTGGGAACTAATTTGCTGGTTTCTTATAAAATTCAGTATATGCTTGCCATACACCCCAGCAATTCCACTGCTGGTTAGTTTTACCTGGGGGAGATGCAAACAGATGCCCATATAAAGACTTGTGCATGCATGTTCATTAAAGCTATTCATAATAATCCACAACTAGAGGGGTGCCTGGGTGGCTCAGTCATTTAAGCATATGCCCCTTGATTTTGGCTCAGGTCATGAACTCAGGACTCTGGGATCAAGCCCTGCATCAAGCCCTGAGCATCAGGCCCCATGTACAGTGGGGAGTCTACTTGAGAATTCTTTGTCTCCCTCTCCTTCTGCCCCCTCCTGTTCATGTGTGTGCTTTCCTTCTCTCTCTCTCTCTCTCTCTCAAATAAATAAATCTATTTTTAAAAATCCCAAACTAGAGGGGGGTCTGGGTGGCTCAGAGGGTTGGGCCTCTGCCTTCAGCTCAGATCACGATCCTGGGGTCCTAGGTTCGAGCCCCTCTGCTCAGCGGGGAGCATGCTTCTCCCCCACCCTGCCTGCCTGCTTGTGATCTCTCTCTCTCTCTGTCTCTTTCTCTCTGTCTGTTAAATAAATAAATAATCTTTTTAAAAAAAGAATAAATAAAAAATAAAAGTTCCAAACTAGAAACAACTTAAAAGTTTATCAAAAAGTGAATTATGGGGACGCCTGGGTGGCTCAGTTGGTTGGGCAGCTGCCTTCAGCTCAGGTCATGATCCCAGTGTTCTGGGATCGAGTCCCACATCAGGTTCCTTGCTCAGCAGGGAGCCTGCTTCTCTCTCTGCCTGCCTCTCTGTCTGCCTGTGCTCTCTCTCTCTAACAAATAAATAAATAAAATTAAAAAAAAAAAAGTGAATTATGATAAGTTCACACAATAGAATATTATTCAGTGAGGCGCCTGGGTGGCTCAGTCGGTTAAGCATCTGCCTTTAGGTCATGATCTCAGGGTCTTGGGATC